CTACCAGCGCGCGGCCAGCCGCCATCAGCAGTTGGCAGTCAGAATGGCAAATGGATTCTGCTCCGCTTTACAACATTGCAAATGCATTGGTTGTTCGCTGCTGGCTGCTGACTGCTGTTGCCTACTGTTCTTTTTTAATTAAAACACTAACAGTACACAAATTAAAATTTGCAAACGAGCTCTGCTGGTTGGCCACAAATGCAAATAAGGAGGTATACTCAGCACTCAAAAGTGGTTAAATACCCGTACTAGTAGTAGATATGTATTCGTTTAGCCACAATACAGCTTTTGCATTGGCATGCAGTGATGCATTTTTGCATTTTGCATCAATGAATAGCCTGTCGCTATGTATATGCGGACATGTATGCATACATATGTATGTAGAATAATACATTGTAAGCGCATTTATCTTTTTAAGCTATCTGCCAGCAGTGTGGAGCATTCAGCCGTCTTACCTAGTGTGTGTGTATGGTTTTGCTTTTAGTTACAGTTTTAATTAAACGTGACCGACTCTATTTGCCCAAAATTAGATTTGGCAAACAAGTAAAGAAGCATTGCATTAAAGCTCTTAAAATATGGTTTCTGTCAATCTGTAAAACTACTTCATAACTAATGGCAGAACATTTAGGTTTACTTATGGCATGAGTAAATTTCTACGGCAGTTCAAATTAAATAAAAAGATCTTCAAAACATTAACAGGTCTTTGGTAAAGCATCAATCCTAACATCCAGAGGAATGCTTTGTATTTGAGACCTTACCAGCAGGGCTCCGATTTTGATGCGATGTCATCTTTTTTCTGAAGCTTCGTAGGCGTTTTCTATTTTTCTAGAAGTTGCATTCGTAGGCCTTAGGTCCAAAAAAATGGAAAGTTATTAGGTATTTTTTTTTAGCATTTATCGCAATTCTTGCTGTTAAGGTTTTTTTTTAATTTAAGAACCTTTTTTGGTTATTTTTCTTCATTAATTTGATTTCTGTGAAGTTGGCATAAGAAATAACGCTAAAATACAAAAAATGGCTTTTCAATAGTTCTGGAGTTGCAGTAAAGGAAAAGCAAAGTTCTGGATATTTTTATAAAAATCCAATTTTCAAAAATTGTGTGCTACAGATTCAGTCAGCATACGACCTGTCGCAAAAAAGGCAAATATAAACTGTTCTGAGTAGATTTTCAATGGTTCTAGAGTTCTAAAAAGGGACAAAAAAGTGGCAAACGACGTTAAAAAAAGATCAAAAAAGTCGAAAAAGTTGAATATTTGAAAAAAAATTTAAAATTGTTCTAAGTAGTTTTTCAATAGTTCTAGAGTTCTAAAAAGGGCCAAAAAACGTTCGGCAAAATTATGCCGAATTTTTTTTTTTTTTGTAAGTCAAAAAGTTTAATGTTTGAAAAAAAAATTAAAACTTGTCTGACTAGCTTTTGAATAGTTGTACAGTTCCTGAAAAGGAAAAAAAGTTCTGCAAAATTACACCGAAAAATTGTTGTCTCAAAAGAGTCGAAAAAGTTTAATGTTTGGAAAAAGAGTTAAATTAAAACTACCCTGAGTAGCTTTTCATTAGTTGTCAAGGGTTTTTAAATGCTCCTATTCAAGTGGAGCGGAGTGTATTTTGAATTGCTTAAACTTTTGCGAACCCTTTTTGAAGAAGTTTCTTTTACATTAAATTATCCGAAAAGTATCTCGTAAATGATTGTAATGGAAACAGTAAAAGTATATTCAGCGCCGTTTTTTCAAGTTGGTTTTAAAATTGTTCTGTCCTACAAACAAATTTTCTTAGTTTTATTAAGCTTTTATAATTTTTAAGAATTATTAAGAGCATTTTGTCATATGATTGATTTTTTGCTAGTTCTTAGGTCATCTTTGCTAGTTCTTAGGCCATCAAAACCCCAATCTGCTTGCCAAACTCCCAAGAGCAATTGCCATGAAGAGACGGGATCTTTCTCTACAACACTTGGAGCTGGTGTTGACGCTTGAGTCAATCACAGCCTTCATCCCAAGGGAGGCCTATAAGTTTACTTGAAATTAGTACTGCTATGATACAGTGTGGAGTGAGAGAGACATTACGGGAGACATACAAAGGTGCAGACATGCGAGTCTTCTCAGTATCTCAGGATACTATTGAGCCCCCGGGCTTATGCAATGCTAAATTCAGAATTGAAGTCCCCACCAGATAGAAAATTGTTTCAAAAGTATCGAGTTAGTCGATTTCTACCGGTGACGTCTTTAATAAAAAACAAGTAAGAGCAGCGCTGTCTTCGGCTATGCCGAAGGCTTCATACCTTTCATGAACATCTGCAAATTTTAGTTTGACAGATTACTGATTTTGAATACATCTGCATACATCGATAGAGGAGTTACATACTTATATAAAAAATCGCATCTAAACAATCAGAGGTGTGGAAGATATACTTCATATGGCACCAATCTAAGTGATTTTCACTGCTATGTGATCGCTATGTAAACCGGTAACACAATTTATTGGATTTAGTTTCCTACATAAAGGAGATATATCGCAAAAACTGGTATCTGAACAATCAGTGCTATAGGAGGTAAAGCTTATACAGCATAGCTTTTGAGGATTTTCTCAGTAGACTTTGTATTATTATTTATAAAATATCTTACGAAATTTATCGGTTTTAGCTGTTCAAATAAAGGAGTTTTACAATAAAATCCCATATCTGAACAATCAGATGTATGGAAGATATATGTTGTAGTCATCCGATCCTTCTTATTTTCACTGTAAGTATTCTGTTAATAATGAGTGAAAATGGTGCGAAACTTCATGTTCCTAGCTGCATAAATGGAGGAGTTATGATAAAAGACCTCATATCTGAACAATCAGTTGTATGGGGGCTGCAGGTTATAGTGACCCGATCTTTGTTATTTTCACTGTAAGTCTTCTGTTGATAATGAGTGAAAACAGCGCGACTTTTCATGGTCCTAGCTACATAAATGGATGAATTATAACGAAAAACCTCATATCTGAACAATCAGTTGTATAGGAGCTATAGGTTATAGTTACCCGATCTTTTTAATTTTCACTGTAAGTTTTCTGTTGATAATTATTGAAAACAGTGCGGAATTTCCTGTTCCCAGCTATATAAATGGAAGAGTTATAACGAAAAATTTTATATCTGAACAATCAGTTGTATGGGAGCTATAGGTTATAGTGACCCGATCTTTGTAATTTTCATTGTAAGCATTCTGTTGATAATGGGTGCAAGTGCTGCGAAATTTCATGTTCGTAGCTGTATAAATGGAGAAGTTATAACGAAAAATCTCATATCTGAACAATCAGTTGTATGGGAGCTATATGTTATAGTGGTCCGATTCTTCCGGTTCCGACAAATGATTAATACATTATAAGAATACACCCACCTACCAAATTTGATCCGGATGTCTCGAAAACTGAGAGACTAGATTGCATACAAACAGACGGACAGACAGACAGACGGACAGACGGACATGGATAAATCAACTCAGCTCGACGTTCTGATCATAAAAGTATACATTTTAATGGGTCTATCTCTTTTTGTTCTGGTACTTACAAACATCGGACCAAAGTTAAAATACCATTTCATGCTCATGAAAGGTATAAAAAGAGTTTACCCAAATGCCAGTTAAAAATATCCCTGCAACGTAAAAACCATTTTCTATCTTGCGAAGCCCAGTGTTGAGGTTAAGGGAAAAGTGGCATTGACAATATGTCACATAAATGGGCGTGTCAGGTATTACAGGAACGCTAAGTTCAGCCAGCTATAAGCAGATGAATAGCAAAGCTTCTTCAAGCTGGAATTGCTGAAATTGAAAATTTTAACAGCGCGACACAGTTACAAACAAAGTAAAGGATGGCCACAAGCGCTGTACCGCCATCTTGCCTGCGGAGCCCTCTGTGTCAATAACGTCCCTGCCAGGGGTCAATCCTAGTAGTATCTAAGTCCAAACTCTATCAGGAAATGGCTATCAGGCATCCGCAGAGGACACTGCAGATTGAAAAGACATCTAGGGAATAGTCTCTGCCACTTTCATGCAATTTCAAGAAGATATGAGTATAGGCTCGCTGTGGCCAAAATGTGGGTAGGGAGATATCGTCGATGGCTTTGAAAAACCGCCCATCCACCAGTTTTAAAACCGTCTATCTTACTAAAATTTTACAGGAGAGCGAAATAGCTTATTTTCTTTAAGACTGTCAACTTAGTAGGCTATATTTAATCTATATGTCATTTTAAAAATGTATGGTTAGAATAGCAGTTTTACTATTTTTATGCATAAAACTCAGGACCACCAAATCTCATTTTTGCTACTATAGCGAATTAGCTGGCTTTTCAAAGGCATCGACGATGTACTCCCCACCATTAGAAGCCCTTGTGAACTTTCTAGGAAATTTAGGATTATACGAATGCTGCGCAGAGAAGAATACACAATAGATCCATACAGTTGCACCGGATACCTCTTTTTACTACCTCTGTTAGGTAGTTAGGATCGACATCAGTTGTCTTTATCGAAGGTCTTAGGGATAATCTTCAATTTACTTCTGGTTACTTGGTAATGAGACGGCTGATTATTTGGCTAGAAATAACTCGGGCTGGGTATTGTTCAGCTTGCAGTTAGTTAAAGAAACTCCACAAGCTCTTACTGGAACTCTTAGATGGCACGAAACCTCGTATAAAAATTTCTGTAGCGACAAGTACCCCGAACTCCGTAGAAAGTTCGCGAACTTAAATAGCTGAGAAACAGCTTTGAAACTTTCCCCTCAGAACACCATTCCATTCGATGAAACAACAAAAATTTAAGATGGTGCTTTTTCGAAGAAAACTTCGCGATTGAAGAGGATTCGTCATTTCTTTGGCCGATATTTTGAATTTTCATAAGCCGATATATATTCGATAGCAATTCAGTTCAAAAGAGTAAGCTATCGCCCACTTGCAGACCACATTCCTGAATTCATTATTGCTTCTACCGCGCAACGAATCGGTACTACCAACAACATCATGCTGGGTAATGTTATCATTACCGAAAACATGTATTGAAAATCTCTAAAAATAAAAAAATTTAAATAAAACAATTACGCATACTCACTCACCTTCTTCACTCGCATTCCTCGATACGCCGCGGCTCACTTCATCCTCCGATGGTGATTCCACAATGCCACCTACTTCAATGACACTTTGCACCGAATCCGCAGAAGATGATGTTGACATAAATGTCATAGACGCAGTTGTTGTTGCTGTTCCTGCTGCTAATGTTGTTGTCTTTGGCATTTGCATGCCATCGCCAACGCGCTCTGATTTCCTCAATTTCTCCGTTGTTGTGGATGGGGATGTATTTTGTGGCTCATTTGGCAAATTAATGGTCTCCAAATGCAACTCGGCTGCAATTGTACCACTGCTACTACCACTACCGCTTACCACATTCGAGACAACTTGTTTGGTTGGCGAGCTGACCGCCATTTCCGTTGGCAGATCTTCGCTGGCAAAGGTAATAATTGCCTGCTGCTTGACGTTGTTTGTGTCGTCGTATTGCTGTTGTTCTACGCCAACAATAATACGCTCTAGCTTATGTTGTTGCGACTCGCTGCGGGCTGCGGGGACGGATGCTGATTGTGCTGATTTAGTTGGCTGTTGCATTCGCTCGCAGTTTTGTTGTAAATTCGGTGTGTTAATTGGGATTTCTAATTTAGACGTTTGCAGTTGGGAGTTCGCACACGGTGTGTGGTCGCCACCAAAGTTAGCTGTGTGCAGGTCTATGGAGCCGCGTTTTTTCGGTGTTGGTGCTAATGTTGAAGTGGGTGTGGTTGAGACAGTGGTGGCAATCGTGCCCTCTGAAGATTTGTGCTCACGTTTTTGTGGGATGGGTGGTGACGTTGGCTTTGTAGCCTGGATTGTGACTTTTTCGTTGGCCGTCACTTCGTTGATAGATGCAGGCAATTTTTTCTCAATTTTTATTTCCACGGTTTCGAATTGTCGTATGTGTTGCGGTGACTTGACTTCCACGACAATCGGTTTTATCGCCTCTTCAATTGCTATAACTTTACTAACGACAGGCGCTATGGGTTTGCCGTCAAATTCCGTATGCACCGCCTCAGCTTTGGGTTCTTCAATAATATTTTTATGCAGCACGTAAAACGGTTCATTATCAAGCAAGTCTGGAGGCGCACTTACGTGTAAGGATGCTTGTTGCTGCTGGCTTTGTGCAGAGGTTACTAGTTGTTCCTTGAGCGCATTTTCCTTTTCCACGGACCGACGTTCTTCATCCAGAAATCCGGCTGTTAGCTGTGACGCATCTAACTTACTTCGATCAGCAGTCAGCTTGCCCTCATTTACGTCTATTTTTTTATGCGTCTCAAGCTCTACATCTGTACTCTCAGCAGGCGCAGCGAGTTGATCATGCGCTTTACCGTCTTCCTTAATTTTCACATCAAGCTCGCTCTCTACCACCAACTTTTCTTCCACAAGCACACCGGGTAAATTTTCACTCTCTGCTCCACTCTCTGTTCCATTCACTCCCCGTTCGTTTACTTCCTCCACCGTGACTGCAGCGGCTGCTTCGGCTTTGTTCTGCTTGTCGTCGCCAAAGTCGAAACCCTCCTCGTCGCAAAATTCGTGCTGGAATAACTTTTCAGCCTCTTTCTTTACCTTCTGGTAGCTTTCGATCAGCTTCTGCGCCTCCAGCTCCAAACGCCGCTCATCTTCGGACTTCTTCAGCAGCTTAGCGCCCTTCTTCGGTGTCTCCTTCGTAGTTTCGCTGCGACGCGTCACCTGTTTGTCACCATCCTTAGTCACAGTCAGTGTTTCGCTCAATTCACGCAGTAGTGTGGGCTTCTTATCTCCTTCTACACTGCCGCCGCCCAAAACCTGTTCCATATCTTCAAACGAATCCTGCACTTGGTGCTCACACTCCATATACTCCACGCCGCCAGATTCGTTGCGTTGCAATTGCTTACCACTCTCCGATAAATTCAAAATACCCCTTTCAATACTTTGCTTATCTTGTGGATTCTCGACAAATTCCGATATACGCGTCTCCGCGCTCGCGGTGACCGTCATCGGCTCTAAATTGTCAGCAGCTGTCATTTCCTCAGCAAGACCTTCAACACCAAGCTGGTCCAAATCATCGCCTTGGCTATGCACCTTTTTCAGCTTGGCGCGTTCCTTATGGCTCTCCGTGCTCGTCTGTAGCTTCTCTTCGCCCGCCGCATCGCGTGTGCGTATCTCGGTGTAAGCATTTTGTTTGGTTTCGAATTGACGCTCTTCAAATACGGTTATGCGTGGCGAACCGGCGCTACTGACGCGTTCCGCATAGGGTTGCAGCGTAAAGGCAACCGGTTTATTGAAATGCTCCAACAAGTTGGAGGTAAAGGGTGCGGCGCTCGGTGTGGCGCTGGTCGTTTTATTAGTCTGAGCCTTACCGCCAGCTTCAAGCGTTTTGCGCAACTCCTCCGGTAAGCCGTCCAAAGCGTCATAGCTGCTATTCTCGATCAGTTGCGTAGAAGATGTGGAGGACTTGATGACCTGCTTTTTAGTGGTAGTTGTGGTAACCTTTTGTGTAGTCTGACGTTCCGATTTCAGCTCGGACGTGTGCTCAGTCTTCGCCTCCACATTTTTCTGCACCGTCTGCTCAATATGTGTCTCGCTGGTCTTGCTGGACATACTCGAACTACTAGCGCTATTGCTGCTCGATTTCGTGGTCTCTGCTGCAGTCTCGCTTTTGGACTCACTATGGGTATATGTATCAACCCCTTCAACTTTATGCGCCAGTTTTATTGACTCTGCTTCGTTTGTGTTATTGGATGAGTTAATATGTTCCTCATTTGCCTGTTGTTGACCTATTTGCTTAGCTTCAATAGGTACCGCCGCCATTACAGCCGTATTGTTTGACACTTGATTAACCATTATCGTTTCGTTGTTTGTGTGCCCATTGTCTGCTGCCCAATTAGCCTTGGCATTAGGCATATCAACTACATTCTGCTCCAACTCCCTCTGTGCTACTCTACTATCAGTGGACTGGTAATTAACTTCCATTGTCACTTTGTTGGCAGTGTCAGTAATCTTATCACTTGGTTTCACCTGCTTTGCTGTTGTTGTAACTTTATCCAGCTCGCTTGCATTCTCTTTCACGGCCACAAATTCACTATTCATTTCCTTTGTCGCATGCGTCGCTTTCTCCGCTGTCACCTTGTCACCGCTGCTGGTAGTTTCCTCAGCTTTTACCTGGCCACTCTCCATTTTGGGCACTGTCGGCGGCGATACGGGCACGCCAATAAATTGCGATTTTCTCGCTTTACCAGTCGCTGATTGTTGAGTGCTAGGGGCGCTGAAAGTTCCAGTTTTTGCAGGTGTTTTCTGATCTTTTTGTGAGCTCGTGCTAGTGGACTCGGTGGCGTTGGTCCCAGCTAATTTCGTTGCTTTCACGGTCTTCTCAACAGGCTCGGACTTAATGACCTCTTCGCGCTTCCTCTCTAAAGACTTTTCTGCACGCTCGGACACTACTTTGTCTATCACCTCCTTAGTATCTTTCAGAGGTCCCGTGTCTGCTACCTTTTCTATCCCTTTTGTTGCGTTTGAGTCTTTCTTCACCTCAGCTACAATTTCCTTCGTTTGCGGTTCTGCGATCTTTTCTGCTTCAGCGTTATTTGCTAACTGTTTTGGTTGTTGCTGTTGACTCAAATCATCCACAATAACGATTGGACTGGAAATAATAGAAGATTGGTACAACATTTTGTCAAATTGTTAAGAAATGTTTAATAAATTTTGTATGCTTATTTGGTTCAAAACTGTAAAACAAAAACAACAGCTGAAGCCACTGACAAGCGCACAGTGCTTTTTGTTGATAAAAATATCGAAATAAAAAAAATCGCTTATTCACTCTCTTTCAACTAATTACCGCCAGCGGCCTTAACTGCTACCCAATTGACATATTCCTTACCTGTTTTTTTTAGATCTTTATTTTCTTTTTAACGCTCCAACAACCGCTACAATAATCGGAAATTGCCGCTTGTGTTCGTAGATTTGAATATTCACAGGCAATAACTTTGCGTTCACGGGATCTTCTCTTTGCCTATTTTCCGTGCGCCTAGATATCTCGCCCGTAGCTACTCACTAACTACAATTATGTACTTCAGTATCTTTCACGCCGTTGCTCACCTTAACTGTGCCAAATTAAAACTTGTACTAATTACTTTTGCCCACAATGCAAAGCTTGAAGGTAGATACATGTGTAGTAGCGCAACGCGCTGAGTTCGCCTGACGCCGCGCCTACCTCCCCGCATGCCATGCGAACTATCTACTTATCTACATACAACCTACCACTTGGCACTTCACCTCTTCTGCGCTACTTTGCGCTACAAGCGCTTATCATTATTATTTTTCTGGTTCTATTTCTACCATCAACTCGTGCCCGTACTTTAGCTGATATACTCGTCCTCTCAACCCTGCGTGCACTGCCCCTTGTACTAACTACTCACTAAATTGCTTGGTATTATTTTGGCCCCTACTCCCCATTTCGGCTAGTTTCACTCGCACATTTGCATTGTGCCGCCGCCATTTTTTTATGGCTTTTTTTCTGCACACCGGCACACATACAACCATTCTCATTCGTACTATACTAAATAATAGTATGCATAATTTATATTTTGTTTTGGTTTTTTGTTTGTTTGACTTTCCTAATATTCATTTCACTCACTTTACTTTGTGTATTCTATTTTGGCGTTGATTTTTTTGTTGCTAACTTATCTTTCCACATATAATCGTTATCTTGCACTTTGTTTAGTGATTACGCTGTCACTAATGAGTTTGATATGATACCCAGCGTATTGCTGAGTGCACGCGAAATTTTGTTAGCGGCATGATTGGTGTGAGCGCTCATCACTTAGCTGCGATCGGTTGGAAGCGCCTAAATGTATGCAACGCAAGCATAGTATGGTTGGTAAAAGAAAATTTTATTTTATTGCAAGTTATCCAATAAAGAATAGTTAGCGGAACAGCTGGCGGATTTATGGAACATTTTTGAAAAAAAGGCATCCAATTTTTATTTTCATTTATATGTATTTGATACACATAGTTAACTATTTATTAAATTTTATTAAATTTTATTCGCCACTCCTTCAGAGATTTTTTCTAAACTTTCTTTAAGTTTCAGTGAAGCCAAATTTGGTAGAATATCGACTACTAAAAGAGCTAAATCATTTGCGAAAGTTCCAATGGTAACTTCCTCTGTAGAAGGAAAGGGCAATATGTGGGTGCGGAATAGGGACATAAGTCAACTTTTCTAATATCAACGTAGAGCTGCCGTCCTTTAGAGCTAACTAGATGGGAACCCCAGAATGGATAGGGGCGGGTAAATGAATGTATTTTTTTTTTAGGATTGAGGTTGCTGGGCCTGAACCATTGTTGACAATAGATCCTAGTAAGGTCACAGTAAAGTTTATAACAGGATAGCATAACATCAATAAATTCCGAATTTCATCTAGTTCTGATTGTGAGTAATCTACGTACATAAATAAGTATATTTTATTTAAATGCTTATTAAAAACTTACCCATTTGGCAAAGATTGCGGCTCTAGCGAGGAGAATTCCTCCTCCACCTCGCCAATGGTGGGCAGCATATTCGAATGCCAATAGAGATTGAAATATGCTTCCGAGGGTCCTGGACCATTTATCAGCTCTGGTGGTCCCAACTTTTCACCATCCTCGCAGTCATAATCACGTTCAGCGTCATGATGCATGGCGTTGAGCTCCTCTTCGTCATCTTCACTCGAACTTGAGTAGTAAGTGGGTTGTGAGTCACTCACTTTAATGCATTTACCCACCACAGCAGGTGGTACGTCTTCGTCATCGACATTACTTTCAATGTGCTGCTGCTCTTGGTTGACAGTAGATGATTTAAATGAGGACAGAACTGGCGGCGATTCATCTTTCCGCTGCGCATTCGGACTATGCTTGCGTACCAAATCGAAGAGACTAGGCATTTTATCGTCCTCATTGTCATTGACATCCGTGAATGGTGTGCGTGGCTCCTGCGTTTTACTTTCGTAGGTTTGTATCTTGAAACGTATCTCACGATTGGGTGACGCGCTGGCAGGCGGTGATTGTTGCTTGAATGTTTGCATTGTGGGTGTATCGCTGCGCGATGACGGTGGCGTCGTATGTGTAGTAGCAGTATTTCGGTCCGCCACTGTCACCGTAACCGTACCAGCACCACCACTTACGGTTGACGGTTGCAGTTTAGGAATATGCGTGGGTGACTTGCCTAGCGACTGCACACGCTCTGGGGGTTTAGGTTTAGGACCTTTCGCCTTTGTGGGCGTGCTCGCTGCGGTGGAGGCAAGTATGGCTTCCGCGGACGCAGACTGACCACTGAAAACGGGTATGAGTGTGCGCTCAGGACTCTTTAGTTTCGACTCCGCTGAATTTGTGCGCTGCAGAGGCATTTTGAGACTCAACGGCGGACTGGACTCCTTCGACTTGCTGCGATAGAGTCCAAGTTTGAGGTCCGTTTCGGACTTTTGTTTGTGCGTTAGGAAACGTGGTATGTTGGATGGACTATTATTTAGCTTGCGCTCAAAGGGCGTGTCCATTTCAAATGAGCGTTTAGGCGAAAGTACCACGGGAATGCGTGACTTAGGCGGCGAAAGCTTGCTTGTTTCTACAGACTTCGGTTTCTCAGCTGCGGGCATACGCGCAGCGCTCACAACACTATCCGTGGAACTGTGGCATTCTTTATCCAAGAACATGGCGGTCTGTTGTTTGATGCTGGACGATAACTCAGGCGACTGCTTTAGCTTGATTTCGCCCTCAGTCTTGGCACGTTCGAATGAGCGTTGCGAATTGGGGCCAAATACCGAGGCGATAGCTTTTGGTATCTTTGTGATGAATTCTTTAGCGGTTTGCGTGGACTCGTATGACGGCGTGGTCGGGGTATTTGCTGGCGTAAGTGGACTATTTGTCGGAGTAGTGGGTGTTGTGGGCATAGTAGGTGTAGTTGGCACTTTTGACGCAGCCTTAGTTAGTGACTTTGCCTGCAATGCTTCGCTTGGCACCGTCGGTGGCGCAACTTGTATGGGTAGCTTAGTGGGTGAGGCAATCTTTCGCGGCGTTGGTATGATTGAACGTTTCTTAGGCTCAACTCCTGGTGAACCGCCTGCGCCGGCTACAGCTTGGCGTGGTTTCGGTGTTGGCAAAATTACAATTGGCGCACCCTGTGACTGTATCTTTAGCTCCACATTCTCGTAAGTGTTCACCTTCTCTGTCTTAAATTCGACATTCTCGTAGTTGTTTCCTGGTATGAATGTCATCGGTTTCTTCACCTGTGATGCTGTCATCGTGCCCGCCAGCAAATCAGGCATGACATCCCCCGTTGACTCGACAACTTTCTTGAGACACTCCTCCAGCTGCACCGCTGCATTCCCATTTACATTCACATTGAATTCCTGCTCCAACATTGTGAACGGTTTGAGTACCTTAGCCAACTCTGATTTATTAATCACCACACTCTGGCCATTTGTCAGCGATGTGTAGCTGGACAAGTCTGATTCGGACGAATAGTTGGAGCTCATGGAGAATTTATCAATCACTGTCGAAATTGTGCTTGCAGTGTCATCCGATTCAGACTCTGTTTTCAGTGACTGGCCGTCGGCGAACAGATTTATGTAATACTCAGCATCCGGCGGCGGTGTGAAAGGTTTATCCACCTCGCTGCTGCTG